CTAAAAAATCGAATCGGAGGGAATTTAAGAGCATCCAGAAGACTTCGGAAGAATCCGATAGACTCCTAAAGAATCTAACAGAACCGAAAAAATATGAGATAAAGAAAAAATCTGAGGGTATCTGAAAGAATTGGAGAAAATCCGAGAGAAACATGAAAGATTCGAAAGAATACGAGAGAATCCGAAATATTCTGAGAGGATTCACGAGAAACCAGAACAATCCGAAAGAATCCAAGTAATTTCGAGAGAATTCGAAAATAAATTGAGACAATCCAACGAAATCTAAAAGAATACGAAAAGAATCCTAAACAAAACGAGAAAATCTGACCAAATTCTAAGAAGAATCAAGACAATCCGAAAGAATCCAATAAAGTATGACAGAATTCAAAGCAATTGGAGAAAATAGAAGTGAATCCGGAAGAATCCGAAAGAAAACTAAGAAATCATATTATTCGAAAGAATACGGTAGAATCCGAAAGAATTTAAGAGTCTGGAAGACTTCGAAAACATACGAGATAATAAGAAAAAATCCGAGAGTAACCCAAGAAAATTACAGAGAATCCGAGAGAAACCTAAGAAATTCGAAAGAATTCGAGAAGATCCAAAATATTCTGAGAAGATCTGCGAAAATCCAAAAGAATTCGAAAGAATCAGAGTGATTTAGAGAGAATCCGAAAATAAATCGAGATAATCGAACGGAATCAAAAAGAATCCTAAACAAAACTACAAAATCTGATCACATTCTAAGAAGATTTGGGAGAATCCGGAATAATCCAATAAAATATGAGAGGATCCAAAGGAATTTGAGAGAACAGAAGATAATCCGGAAGAATCCGAAAGAACACGAAAATTCCAGAGAATCCGAGAAAAACCTGAAGAATTCGAAAGAATTCGGGAGAACACAAAATCTTCTGAGAAGGTCCGCGGGAATCCAGAAGAATTTGAAAGGATTGGGGTGATTTCGAGAGAATCCGAAAATACATCGAGAAAATCCAACCAGAGTACGAAAAGAATCCTAAACAATGCCAGAAAAACTGACTAAATTCTAAGAAGATTCTAGAGAATCTGGAAAAATCCAATAAAATATGAGAGAATCCAAAGGAACTGGGAGAAAAGAAGATAATCCAAAAGAATCCGAAAGAATAGGAAAATATCGAGACGATTGGAAAGAATTCGATAGAATCCTAGAGAATTTAAGAGAATGTGGAAGAATTCGAAAGAACCAGAGACTCTGGTAGAGAATAGAAATATGAGATAACACAAAAACAGCTAATAGAATCTAAGAGAATTCAAAAGTATTCGAAAGAATCTGTAAAAATCCGAGAGGATCACAAAAAGATTACAGAGAATCCGAGAGAAACCTGAAGGATTCGAAAAAATACGAGAGAATCGAAAATATTTTGAGAGAATCCGCGAGAATCAGGAAGAATCAGAAGGAATCTGAGTGAAATAAACTGAGAGAATCCAATGTAATCTAAAAGAATACGAAAAGAATCCTAAACAATACGAGAACATCTGACCAAATTCTAGGAAGATCCGAGAGTATCCGGAAGAATTCAATAACATGAGAGAATTCAAAAGAATTCGAAATATTACGAAAAAATCGAGACAATTCGAAAGAATTTGATAGAATCGGAGAGAATTTAAAACATTCCTGAAGAATTCAAAAGAACCCGAAAGAATCCCAAAGAATCTGACCAAACCGGAAAAATACGAAGTAATCCCAAAAAAAGCCGAAAGAATAGGTAAAAAATCGAGAAAATCACAGAAAGATTACAGAGAATTCAGGAGAAACCTAAAGGATTCGAAAGAATCGGAGAGAATCCAAAGGAAGATTCAAAAGGAATCCGAGTGATTTCGAGATAATCCGAAAATAAATTGAGAAAATCCAACGGAATCTAAAAGAATACGCAAAAGAATCCTAAACAATAGCAGAAAATCTGACCAAATTTTCTAAGAAGATCCGAAAGAATCCAGAAGAATCCAATAACATGAGAGGATCCAAAGGAATTCGGGAAAATAGAAGATAATCCGGAAGAATTTCAAAGAATACGAAAAAATCGAGACGATTCGAAAGAATTCGATAGAATCGAAGTGAATTTAAGAGAATCCGAAAGAATTCGTTGGAACGCGAGGGACCCCTAGAGAATCTGACAGAACCGGAAAAATTACGAGACAATCCGAAGAAATCCGAGAGAATACGTCAAAATTCCAGAGAATCTCAAGAAAATTCCAGAGAATCCGAGAGAAACGTGAAGAATTCGAAGGAAGGAGAATCCAAAATATTCTAATCGGATTCACAAGAATCCGAGTGAATTCGAGAGAATCCGAAAAAAATCGAGAGAATTCAACGGAACCCCAAAATAATACAAAAAAATCAAAACGATTCCAAAGAATTCGATAGAATCTGAGAAAATTTAAGAGAATCCGGAAGAATCCGAAAAAATCCGAGAGACTCCTATAGGATTTGGGGCAACCGGAAAAATAAAACATGATCGGAAAAAATCCGGAAGAATACGTAAAAAAACGACAAAAACTCAAGAAAATTCGAGAGAAACCGAGAGAACCCTGAAAAATTCGAAAGAATACAAGAGAATCCAAAATATTCTGAGCGGATTCACAAGAATCCGAGTGAATTTGAGAGAATCCGAAAGTAAATCAAGCAAATACGAAAAGAATCTGAAACAATTCCAGAGAATTCGATCAATTTCTAAAAAATCTAAGAGAATCCGGAAGAATACGAGAGAATACAAAAAATCCGAGAGAATCAAAGTGATTTGGAGATAATCTCAGAGCATCTGAAAAAAATTTGAGAGAATTCGGAAAAAATCCGAGAGAATACGAAAAAATCCAAGAAGTCCGGAAAAAATCCTAGGAGATACAGAAACCTCCGAATCTGAGAGAATCCGAAACAATTCGAAAAGAAACCAAAAGAAGTCGAGACTCAGAGATAATCTGAAAGAATACCAAAGAATACGTGCGAATACGAAAGCAATCCGAAACAATTCGAAAGAATTTGATAGAATCGGAGCGAATTTAAGAGAATCTGGAAGAATTCGAAAGAACCTGAGAGACTATAATCTCTGACAGAACTTTTAAAAATATGAGTCAATATAAAAAATCCGGGAGAATCCCAAGAAAATTCTGAAGAATTCGAAAGAAATCCGATGAATTTGAAAAAATGCAAGAAAATCCAAAATATTTTTAGAGAATACACGAGATTCCAAAAGAATCCTAGTGAATTCGAGAGAATCCAACAGAATCCAAAAGAAGCCGAAACGAATCAACGATACTAGAGAATCCGACCAAATTCTGGGAAGATCTAAGAAAATCCGGAAAAATACAGGAGAATACAAAAAATCCGAGACAATACGAAAAATTTAATTTTGTTCAGTTTCCATTTTCGATTTTTCCTGTAATTGGTTGTAATCAAATACTTATTATTATTTAAAATATTATTATTTAAAAAAATTCTAGAAAATACGAAAGAATTCGAGAAAATTCCGAAAAATTTCGCGAGAATACGGAAAAGTCCTAAAATTCCGAGAGAATCTAAAAATAATTCTAAAACCATCTGAATATAAACCAAAAGAATCCGAGGCTTCGAGAAGAATACGTGAGAATCAAATAATCCGAGAAGATTCGAAAGAATTTGATAGAATCCTAGAGTCTCTTACAGAAACCAGAAAAATACGAGCCAATATGAAAAAATCCGAGGAAATCTGAAAAAATCCGAGAAAATCCCAAGAAAATTACAGAGAATCTGAAATAAAGCTGAAGATTTCGCGAGAATCCGGAAGAATCCGAAACAATCCTAGAAAATCCGAAAATAATTCGAAGCAATCCGACAGAATCCAAAAGAACACGAAAGAATCCAAGGGAATTACGGAGAATAGATGAGAATCTCGAATAATTTTCTGTAAGAATCCAGGGGAATCCGAAAATAACTCCAGAGAATCCGACAGAATCCAAAAAAATCCCAAAAAAACATGGCATCCATCAGATTTCGAGAGAATTCTAGAGAATCAGGACGAATTCGAGATAATACGCAAAAATCCAAGAGTATCAAAGTAAATTCGACAGAATCCCAGAGAATTCGAAACGATATGAAAGAATCTGAAAAAAATCCTAAGTAACACGAAAAAATCAGGGAGAGTCTAGAAAAATCGGACAAGATATGAAAGAACCCGAAATTTCCATAGAAATCGTAAAGATCCGCGACAATTCGAAAAAATACCGAAGAAAACGTGAAAACACGAAAACAAACCAATATGATAACCTGGTAGAAGATCAAGAAGAATACCAAAAGAATTCCTAAACAATATGAGAAAATCCTAGGGAATTCGGAAGAATGGAAGAGAATCCAAAAAAATCCAAAAGAATACAAAAAAAATCCGAGAGAATCAAAATTTTTTGGAAAAAAATTCAATGACCTGACCGGACCTGACCTGACCTGGCCTGACCTGACATAACCTGACCTTACCTGATCTAAGCGTTTTAAAATGAAATAAATTTTCAAATATTTGTTTTCAATAAAACGACAATTCTATACTTTCAATCAGTTTATTTTTAAATTGTTTCCAACAGGTGCTAATAAATGTAATTAAGACACTTGAAAAAATAGTTTAACACATAATTAATGTTGAAGAATTTTTCAGAAAATAAATATATTTACTAATAATAATAATTCGTAGAAAAATTAGAACTAAATCCATTGCATTAAAAACAAACATCAGAAAAGAATATGTAAATATTTATTTAAATTTATATCTATTCAAGGTGTTTAGTATTCTTAGAACCATTATTTAGAAAGATTTCTTTCAAACATTTCATGACTAAAGAACTATTAAATTGTTTCGAAAGTGATACAAAATCCTTTAAAAATAGATACATTTCACTGAAAGTATCGTTCTAACAAAATAACGACAATTGTAGCCTACTAATTTACAGTCCAACATAATTGCGATCACTGTTGAAATACAATTACTATTTTCTTCCAGCCCCCAAGCCCAGCAACCGCCGCTCCCGGAAACCCGGCCTGGACCGCAAGCCCCGCCAAGCTTACAGCGCCAAGCAGCTCGAGCGACTCGAAAGCGAATTCAAAGTCGACAAGTACTTGAGCGTCAGCAAAAGAATGGAATTATCCAAAGCCCTAAACCTAACCGAAGTCCAAATCAAAACGTGGTTCCAAAACAGGCGAACGAAGTGGAAGAAGCAGCTAACCACCCGACTGAAGATGGCGCAGCGACAGGGCCTCTTCCCGCCGCACTACTTCGCCCCAGCCACCCAACAGTATTCTGCCCTCTTCACACCGTACTACTCGTCCCTGGGCTGCGTCTTCGGCGTGCCCACGATAGAGGACGCCAGCGGACACGTCGCCGGAACGGACACGGCCCGGCGGACGTCCACACTGTCCACCACTTGAGCCCGAACGTTGTATGATAAGTTGTTGGATGTTGATGTATATTTGTATTTATTGAAATAAAGTTAGCACTGAAAATGGTTGTACAGATTTGGGGTGTATTACTGGTTGCCGACGCAAGAAACGTCTAGTTTTATAATGTTTTTGAAACGACTTTAACAAATAAGGTAACTTGACGTCTGCAGCGACAGTTTATCTGGTTTTCTTGAATTTATATTAATTATGACTCCTGCAACGCATCCTCCACGGTACGAAGGAGCCAAGGAGCATGTATGTGCTGTACGGTTATTACACGTCATGTCGCATCTAATATTTCCAATATCTTTGACTGTAGTGGATTAGATTAATCGCTAGAATTACTAAATAAAAATTTAATGGTGTTTCTTGTGTGATACATTCCCATACAGGCTTGTCTACAAAACACAAATTCTGCGTTGGCGATAACACGAAAATCTATCTAAACACAATCTCAGAACAAAACTTAGAACTGTAACTTCTATCAACATTGTACTCTGTACCGCACCTCAACTTTATAAAAATGCCACCAGGTGGACTCACTGTTCCCTATCTTACTGGTTTCACAATTTGAGCGTAAAAATGCGTTCTTTCCTCGGTTTGTAGATAAAAACAACAACAGTTGGTTACGTCGTGTCCAACTGAGTTCTTGTTTTTGTCCACAACATCCACATGCACCCACTAATGTAAAACAATAATTATTTAAAAAATATATATAATGGCACTTTTTCACTTCTTCAAAAACAATCACATATTCGAAAAGTGCTGTATTTCTAAAAAATAAATATAAATAAATATCTTACACCTAAATAACTTAACTATAAATAAACGTATAACATCCTAACAAAAATAATCGAGTACAAATAATTATCATTTTACAAGTCAACAGAATTAACAAACATTAACCTAAAAAATCGAATGCGATTCAGGTATTTTGTTGTCAATAAAGTACAATTATCACATAGTATAATAAAAAATCTAGTTGTGGTGGTTTAATCCAGAGCTCCTTGTCCCGTGTTTGGCAGCAGGAGACACAACAATCCACTTCCTGTAATGAAAGTGATTAATCAGGCAACAGGTGCAAGGAAGGAATTTATCCCTGAAATTAATCATACCTAGCAACATGGCGGCGAATAATACAATCGGGATGACGCAATTCAAGTCGATGAGGAAGCCAAACAGCAAGTTACCTATAAGGGCGCCGCCCCTACCGAAGGTCAAAGAAAGGGCAGCCGCCATCACCCTGAAACAAACTACCTCAGTAACTTCACACGACAGTTGCATTACGCATGCGCGCCTTACCGTAAGTTCGTCGGGAATAAGTCAACCATCACACAGTACACCGTACTGATCCCCAGACTGGTCAAAGCCTCAAAAATACACGACAAAACCAAATTCGACGTCGTCGAATTGACAAAATACAGCCCAAAAGTGACGGCACCGGCCACCAGCAAACTGAAAACTGAACCCCCAGTATATACTAACCCGAACTGTGGTTGCTACTCACCCAAGAAGAACTTAGCACCCAACCTGTGCACACACAACGGCAACCAGAAACTCGTCGGAATACACGCAAGACCGATGATCAAAGTGTGAAGAAAAACGGAATCTGCTAAAGGTTCACCACAGAATTCTTCATGTGAAGGAATGGTGGCATTGAGTGGAACGACAACCGAAGAGACTTCGCAGACGGTGGCCTTTTCCCCGGGATGAACGGACTCGAACTCCTCGAACCGGTAGAAAAGCTCCGGGAACCAGATCATGAGGGTGTAGTAGCTGGTGGTGAGTCCGAACTGGATTAGACAGGTTATCACCGTGTACCGGAGGTGTGGGGGCTTGCACAAGGCTTTGGTTTGCTCCCAGATTTCCTGCATCAATAGTTTCAGCTCCTTCGGTTTTCTTATCCTTAAACTACGAATACTGCGAGTGGATTGTTGAGACACGACACTCATTGTGCGTACTTTTTCTCTTAAACTAATAACCTGGAAAAGGGGGAGATTTGGGGTTAAGTAGATGAGTTGTTAGGGTTTCTTACGGGAAAGTTCGCAGCGCTGTCTCCAGTGTTAGTCGCGTACATATCTTTTAAGACTTCTAGAGCTTCCTCGGCCTCTCCACACTCCAGTAAGAACTTCGGACTTTCGGGAAAGAAGAATAACCAAAATCCGATTAGGAGGCTGGGGATGGAGCATGTCGCTACGAACAAATTCCAACTAGCAAACTTGAAATTGTCTGCTTCGTATACGAATTCCATAGGAATTATAATCCAGGCGATTCCGGGGAGTACTATAACCCCAAGAGTCCAGAAGAGTTCCATCCAACAGAGAATCGTCTCTCGGTACTTCCCCGGTTGGAATTCGCCCAAGTAGGGGAAGCAAATACCCATAGCACCTGTTATACTACATTGGGGTTAGTTAGAGGACACCCGACTAGTGACGGACTTACGCGAATCCGTTGAGGAATCTAAACAACATGAACAACCAGTACACTTGAGAGATGCTGGAGAGAAGTCCACAACACCCATCCATAAGTAAGGCACCGATTAATACTGTTTTACGTCCCTTTGTATCAGCCAGGCATCCCCAAAAATACGAGCCAATCACCATACCTGGAACGGCATTGCTTAGCAAAATTTCGCGACGACGTCACTGCGTATTTTTTTGAAAAATTTTGAAAACAAACCAGCGTCGTTGGAATTTTATAAAGCCCGGTCATTACTCATCCGTCTCATTCTATTTGGAAACGAGTTTGATAGTGACTAATGACCTGCCTCCTGCCAAGAACTCGGTCGTTAGCAAGCACTTTCGAAATATTCTGGGAATCCCGAGGCGACCCTGAACCAATTAATTATTTTTCGCACACTGGCACAATAATCTCTTTTTTAAAATACCAGAGAAAAATTGTCAAAAAACGAAACCTTCGCTTAAAATTCGCACCGGAGCGAAATCCTTCCTCCGAAGGTATTCTAGAATCCCGTAGTCGAGGTTACAACTGATTTATGCTTGTCTATCTGCGACAGTTTCAATTGACATTGATTGAACAGTTCAATTAGTGCGAAAGACGCTTTCCACGACACCCACCGGCCAAGGTTCGTATTTCTGGATTTTTTCGCGCCTTACGTCACGGGTGATGACGTCGCTACTCACCAAGCATGGGGGCGGCCGTCAGCCAGCCTTTGTCCGCTGAAGACATCTCGAAGTCGCATGTCGCCGACGGGAGGACGAACGAGATGATCGTTATTCCGACGGCGGTGTTCAAATAAATTAGACCGCATACTGTCAACAAGGCGAAATGAAATTTTCCGAAACCTAGAACAATCGATCGGTTTTAGCGACCCTGGAAGAACAATGGGGGAAATTTAAGAGGCGATTATTATGCAAGGCTGAGATTAGCATTGGGTTTTGGCACGTCATCGTATTGACACCCAAAGTCGTTCATCCGCCATCTGGGTCAAGTTTAAGAGTAGCGAGGAATTAACAAGTGGTAGAAGGTGGAAATGGTAAAGGTGAGGTGTGGAAGTGGACGGTGCGCTTCCTTGCACATGTGTTGGCGACACTGGTGTGAAGATTTTTCACTAATGGAAGTTACGCCAAAAAATTACTGTAATAATTTTGAAAACTTGAACTAGACAAGGATTTTTTGGTTTGGAGACAGAAAAGATTTGTGTTTCAAAAGAATTTCGCCTCCATTGTTAAGCAGTCTTGTAGCGATATCGCTACCAATAAGCAGGATACTGTCTGTGAACAAAGTTTCATATATTCAATTGACTTAGATAAAGCAGTTTTTTCTGTTTTTTGTAAAAAGTCGTCTTTGTTTTCTTATTTTTTTCTCAGGTCTACAGAATTTTCAAAAAACGGACACATTTACAAATAAAAGTCTACAAAGATTTAAAAACCAAAACGAAAATCAATATATGTTTTAATATTAGTTATTTATAACTCATAATAAAATTAAGAAAGAGTATCACTTTCTCAACTATAATTTAATATTTTTTATGTTGTTCATTCTTTTTATTTTAAATGTTCCACCATTTAGTTCCTTTATTTCAAAGTAAAGATCGAGCCCTGAAGTCTTTTCTGTATTGATTTTGTTTTCTTTTTGTCTTAAACTTCATATTTTTGTTTTCTTTTTCTTTAACTCGCTTAACTTCTGAGAGTGAGTTCCTACTCGTGATTTTAAAGTGTTCAAATGTAGTTGCTTCTATATTTTCCTATTTTTTTGTAGTAGTTTTTACATGTATTTTTTTTTGACAATTAATTCTACTGCACTGTAGTTTTTCGTTTCATAAAAAAAAAATTTAAACAGAAAAACTAAAGTAGATGATACAGTTTTCCCCTATAAAAAGAAAATGATTTCAAAATAAAAAGTTTATTAAAAAAATGTATGATAGTAATTAAAGCAAAAAAAAACAAGAAAAACGGTAAACAAACAAATTAACACAGAAAGACTTAAAAAAATGTTCAAACCAAACAAATCAATTACAGATTTTCTGTTAACCCTGTCCTTAATATTTACATTTGTACAAGATTTAATTCATGTCAAGAATTTAGGCCCCAAAATTTAAATTTAATTTAAGAAGAAACTCGTCCACATTGAATGATTGTTAAAGCAACAACTTTCAAAAATTCACTATTTTCAAAACGCCAAAACAGATTTATTTCTAGATCTTTAGTGATTTTTTCAATATTCGTATTTATTTTTCCAATTATAAAGTTACATTTGAAATTAGGAAAACATTTCTTTCGTTTATAAGGTAATTGAAAATCTAAAAGGAAGGTATTTTTCATAACTACCTACCATAATTCGATAAAAGTCGAGATTTTTTTAAATTTTATGATTACAAGTTATGGTATTTTTTCAAAATTTTTAAAAACATAGTGGCTACAATAACAGACAAATTTTGTCTCAATTTTTCCCAAAATTTGTTTAACTTTGGCAGCCCAATTTAAAAACTAAACCAAAATAAAGCAAAAAAATTCAAGCTAAGCGAACATGTTTTTTTTTAATTCTAAACATTTTTGACAATTTAAACTCGAATTTAAAACATAATTTGCTTATAAACTTTTAAAAATGTCATGTATCTTGAAAAATTTCAATTTTTTCCAAATTGTTCAACTTTATATATTATATTATTTTTTTTATTTTCTTTTCTTTCTAGTACGAGTTTCTTCCTAAGTTTGTTTTTGACGAAAATGAGAACAATTTTATCTCAATATTTTCAAAATCTTTTCTATTTTAGCAGCAACCCAATTTAGAAATTAACAAAAAAAAAGCAAAAAATATATGCTAAGAAACACGATTACAGTTTTTTTTATTTTCTTTTCTTTCTAGTAGGAGTTTCTTTCTGATAAAAATTCTTGACAAGTTAAACCATTATTTAAAAACTTTTAAAAATGTCATTATTTAGTAAATATGTTGCAAATTTGAATTATAGGTCTTGAAATATATAAAACTGTCTTCACACTGTTATTTTCTCAAAATTTTTTTGTATTTGCATTTTTTTCAAAATTTTTACAAACATCGTAACTAAAATGAGAGAAATTTCAATTCAATTTTATCCAAAATTAGTTCAGCATTAGTAGAAGGTATTTTTCTCATACTAACTAACTTAACTCGATGAAAGTCAAGATATTTCTTAATTTTAGAATTTTAAGCTTATAATATTTTTTCAAAATTTTTGACTAAAATGAGAGAAATATTATCTCAATTTTTTCCAAAATTTTTTCTACATTAGCAGCAACCCAATTTAGAAACTAACTCAAAAGAAAAGCAAAAAATGTAAGCTAAGAAACACGATTACAGTTTTTTTTATTTTCTTTTCTTTCTAGTAGGAGTTTGTGTTTCTGATCAAAAATTTTGACAAGTTAAACCATTATTTAAAAACTTTTAAAAATGTCATTACTTAGTAAATTGTTACAAATTTAAATTATAAGTCTTGAAATATATAAAACTGTCTTCACACTGTTATTTTCTCAAAATTTTTTTGTATGTGTATTTTTTCAAAATTTTTACAAACATAGTAACCAAAATGAGAGAAGTTTTAATTCAATTTTATCCAAAATTAGTTCAGCATTAGTAGAAGGCATTTCTCTCATACTAACTAACTTAACTCGATGAAAGTCAAGATATTTCTTAATTTTAGGATTTTAAGCCTATAGTATTTTTTCAAAATTTTTGACGAAAATGAGAACAATTTTACCTCAATGTTTTCCAAAATTTTTTCCACTTTAGCAGCAACCCAATTTAGAAACTAACTAAAAAAAAAGCAATAAAAATATAAGAAACTAAGAAACACGATTACATTTTTTTTTCTTTCTAGTAGGAATTTCTTTCTAATAAAAATTTTTGACAAGTTAAACCATTATTTAAAAACTTTTAAAAATGTCATTACTTAGTAAATATGTTACAAATTTAAATTATATGTCTTGAAATATATAAAACTGTTTTCACACTGTCATTTTCTCAAAATTTTTTTGTATTTGTATTTTTTCAAAATTTTTACAAACATCGTAACCAAAATGAGAGAAATTTTAATTCAATTTTATCCAAAGTTAGTTCAGCATTAGTAGAAGGTATTTTTCTCATACTAACTTAACTCGATGAAAGACAAGATATTTCTTAATTTTAGGATTTTAAGCCTATAGTATTTTTTCCAAATTTTTGACGAAAATGAGAGAAATTTTATGTCAATTTTTTTCAAAATCTTTTCTACTTTAGCAGCAACCCATTTTAGAAACTAACTCAAAAGAAAAGCAAAAACTGTAAGCTAAGAAACACGACTACAGTTTTTTTTATTTTCTTTTCTTTCTAGTAGGAGTTTGTTTTTCTGGTCAAAAATTTTGACAAGTTAAACCATTATTTAAAAACTTTTAAAAGTGTCATTCCTTAGTTAATATGTTACAAATTTAAATTATATGTCTTGAAATATATAAAACTGTCTTCACAGTGTTATTTTCTCAAAATTTTTTTGTATTTGTATTTTTTCAAAATTTTTACAAACAACGCAACCAAAATAAGAGAAATTTTAATTCAATTTTATCCAAAATTAGTTCAGCTTTAGCAGAAGGTATTTTTCTTATACTAACTAACTTAACTCGATGAAAGTCAAGATATTTCTTAATTTTAAGATTTTAAGCGTATAGTATTTTTTCCAAATTTTTGACGAAAATGAGAGAAATTTTATCTCAATTTTTTCCAAAATTTTGTCTACTTTAGCAGCAATCCAATTTAGAAACTAACTCAAAAGAAAAGCATAAAATGTAAGCTAAGTAACACGATTACAGTTTTTTTATTTTCTTTTCTTTCTAGTAGGAATTTGTGTTTCTGATCAAAAATTTTGACAAGTTAAACCATTATTTAAAAACTTTTAAAAATATCATTACTTAGTAAATATGTTACAAATTTAAATTATGTCTTGAAATATATAAAATTGTCTTCACACTGTTATTTTCTCAAAATTTTTTTGTATTTGTATTTTTTCAAAATTTTTACAAACATCGTAACCAAAATGAGAGAAATTTTAATTCAATTTTTTCCAAAATTAGCTCAGCTTTAGTAGAAGGTATTTTTCTTATACTAACTAACTTAACTCAATGAAAGTCAAAATACTTCTTAATTTTAGGATTTTAAGCCTATAGTATTTTTTCCAAATTTTTGACGAAAATGAGAGAAATTTTATCTCAATTTTTTTCAAAATTTTTTCTACTTTAGCAGCAATCCAATTTAGAAACTAACTCAAAAGAAAAGCATAAAATGTAAGCTAAGTAACACGATTACAGTTTTTTTATTTTCTTTTCTTTCTAGTAGGAATTTGTGTTTCTGATCAAAAATTTTGACAAGTTAAACCATTATTTAAAAACTTTTAAAAATGTCATTACTTAGTAAATTGTTACAAATTTAAATTATAGGTCTTGAAATATATAAAACTGTCTTCACACTGTTATTTTCTCAAAATTTTTTTATATGTGTATTTTCTCAAAATTATTACAAACATCATAACCAAAATGAGAGAAATTTTAATTCAATTTTATCCAAAATTAGTTCAGCTTTAGTAGAAGGTATTTTTCTTTTAGTAACTAACTTAACTCGATGAAAGTCAAGATATTTCTTAATTTTAGGATTTTAAGCCAATAGTATTTTTTCAAAATTTTTGACGAAAATGAAAACAATTTTATCTCAATTTTTTCCAAAATTTTTTCTACATTAGCAGCAACCCAATTTAGAAACTAACTAAAAAAAGGAATAAAAATGTAAGAAGCTAAGAAACACGATTACATTTTTTTTCTTTCTAGTAGGAGTTTCTGTCTGATAAAAATTTTTGACAAGTTAAATCATTATTTAAAAACTTCTAAAAATGTCATTACTTAGTAAATATGTCACAAATTTAAATTATATGTCTTGAAATATATAAAACTGTCTTCACACTGTTATTTTCTCAAAATCTTTTTGTATTTGTATTTTTTCAAAATTTTTACAAACATCGTAACCAAAATGCGAGAAATTTTAATTCAATTTTTTCCAAAATTAGTTCAGCTTTAGTAGAAGGTATTTTTCTTATACTAACTAACTTAACTCAATGAAAGTCAAAATACTTCTTAATTTTAGGATTTTAAGCCTACAGTATTTTTTCAAAATTTTTGACGAAAATGAGAACAATTTTATCTCAATTTTTTCCAAAATTTTGTCTACTTTAGCAGCAACCCAATTTAGAAACTAACTAAAAAAAAGCAATAAAAATGTAAGTAGGTAAGAAACACGATTACATTTTTTTTCTTTCTAGTAGGAGTTTCTTTCTGATAAAAATTTTTGACAAGTTAAATCATTATTTAAAAACTTTTAAAAATGTCATTACTTAGTAAATATGTTACAAATTTAAATTATAGGTCTTGAAACATATAAAACTGTCTTCACACTGTTATTTTCTCAAAATTTTTTTGTATTTGTATTTTTCAAAATTTTTACAAACATCGTAACCAAAATGAGAGAAGTTTTAATTCAATTTTATCCTAAATTAGTTCAGCTTTAGTAGAAGGTATTTTTCTTATACTAACTAACTTAACTCGATGAGAGTCAAGATACTTCTTAATTTTAGAATTTTAGGCCTATAGTACTTTTTCAAAATTTTTGGCGAAAATGAGAACAATTTTATCTCAATTTTTTCCAAAATTTTTTCTAATTAAGCAGCAACCAAATTTAGAAGCTAACTCAAAAAAAAACTATAAAAATGTAAGAAGCTAAGAAACACGATTACATTTTTTTTTCTTCCTAGTAGGAGTTTCTTTCTGATAAAATTTTTTGACAAGTTAAACTATTATTTAAAAACTTTTAAAAATGTCATTACTTGGTAAATATGTTACAAATTTAAATTATAGGTCTTGAAATATATAAAACTGTCTTCACACTGTTATTTTCTCAAAATTTTTTTGTATTTGTATTTTTTCAAAATTTTTACAAACATCGTAACCAAATGAGAGAAGTTTTAATTCAATTTTATCTAAAATTAGTTCAGCTTTGGTAGAAGGTATTTTTTTATAGTAACTAACTTAACTCGATGAAAGTCAAGATACTTCTTAATTTTAGGATTTTAAGCCTACAGTATTTTTTCAAAATTTTTGACGAAAATGAGAACAATTTTTCCCAAAAATTTGTCTACTTTAGCAGCAACCCAATTTAGAAACTAACTAAAAAAGAACCAATAAAAATGTAAGAAGCTAAGAAACACGATTACATTTTCTTTTCTTTTCTTTCTGGTAGGAGTTTCTTTCTGTTAAAAATTTTTGACAAGTTAAACCATTATTTAAAAACTTTTGAAAATGTCATTATGTACTTGGTAAATATGTTACAAATTTAAATTATATTTCTTGGAATATATAAAACTATCTTCACACTGTTACGGTATTTTTTCTAACATCGTAACCAAAACGAGAAAAATTTTAATTCAATTTTATTCAAAATTAGTTCAGCTTTAGTAGAAGGTATTTTTCTTATAATAACTAACTTAACTCGATGAAAGTAAAGATATTTCTTAATTTTAGGATTTTAAGCCAATAATATTTTATCAAAATTTTTGACGAAAATGAGAACAATTTTATCTCAAATTTTTCCAAAATTTTTCAGCAGCAACCCAATTTAGAAACTGACTCAAAAAAAGCAATAAAAATGTAAGAAGCTAAGAAACACGATTACTTTTTTTTATTTTCTTTTCTTTCTAATAGGAGTTTCTTTCTGATAAAAATTTTTGACAAGTTAAACCATTATTTAAAAACTTTTAAAAATGTCATTACTTAGTAAATATGTTACAAATTTAAATTATAGGTCTTGAAATATATAAAACTGTCTTCACACTGTTATTTTCGCAAAATTTTTTTGTATTTGTATTTTTTCAAAATTTTTACAAACATCGTAACCAAAATGAGAGAAATTTTATTTCAATTTTATCCAAAATTAGTTCAGCATTAGTAGAAGGTATTTTTCTTATACTAACCAACTTAACTCGATGAAAGTCAAAATATTTCTTAATTTTAGGATTACAAGTCTATCCTACTTTTTCAAAATTTTTGACGAAAATGAGAAATTTTATCTCAATTTTTTCCAATTTCTTTTTACTTTAGCAGCAGTCCAATTTAGAAACTAACTCAACAAAAACCAAAAAATATAAGCTAAGAAACACGATTACAATTTTTTAATTTTCTTTTCTTTCTAGCAGAAGTTAACAAATTTTCGACAATTTAAGTCATAATTTATAAACTTTTAAAAAACGTCAATAAGTAGTACACATGTTACAAATTTAAAATATATATCTTGAAATATATATAAAACTGTCTTTACATTGGCCTCGCATTTTTTCAAAATATTTAAAAATATCGTAATCAAAATGAGAGAAATTTTATCTCATTTTTTTCCAAAATTTGTTCAAATTTAGCAACAGCCCATTTTAGACACTAACTCAAGAAAGCAAAAAATGTAATTTAAGAAACACAATTAATTTTTTTTAATTTTCTTCTTTTTCTAGTAGGAGTTTGTTTCGACTAAAAATTTTTGAAAATTTAATCCATAATTTATACTGTTTTAAAAATGTCACTAGTTAGTAAACACCTTACAAATTTAAAATCTTGAAATACATAAAACTGTCTTTAAACTGCTGTCGTATTTTGTCAAAATTTTGAAAAACATCGTAACTAAATTGGCAGAAATTTTATCTCAATTTTATCCAAAATTGTTTCAACTTTAGCAGCAGCCTAATTTAGAAACTAACCCAAAAAAAGTAAAAAATGTAATCTAAGAAACACAATTATATTTTTTTAATTTTCTTTTGTTTCTAGTAGAAGTTACGAATTTTTGACAATTTAGCCCATAATTTATAAACTTTTAAAAATGTCAGTAATCAGCAAACATGTTACAAGTTTAATTAAATTTTAACAAACTTTGTCCACAACCCCTTCGTCTCCCCTACGCAGGCACCACCTGTACAAGTGACGACCTGCGCCAACAAATCCCCGAAATTCCCCGCCTATGTCCTTGTTCACGCAAATAAATCTCACCGTGAAAAAATTAATTAGGTTAATTGTACAAACTTAATTTTGTGAAAGAATGAGTTACAAAAACAACCACTACCTGAGACAGCAAACCAATCGATCACAAATTTATCGACTTGTTATTATCCAGACAAGTAAACAGTAATTACTGTTATTGAAAAAAATGTTATAAATAAACGTTTGTGCCTTATCGATTTTACTAATGGACTGGGACTAACAAATCACCACGAAAAAAATAACGTAAAAAAATTGAATCCTACCTGTATTTTCGAGCGCCCTTTCGAAATCCTCGCCCTGGCCCTCGATGAAATCAAGTCCTGCGAAGAAATCGGATTTAGAACGGTTAAAAAAAAGCGTTTTCGGCGGTATGAATGAGGCACTAACCCATGTTGTCCCGCAGCGATTCGCTTCCAACAAAATCCGAATAATTACAGGTGTCACTCGAAGAAAGTCACAAGTACAATAATATTCTTTAGCCGCGATTGTAAATATCATATCCCGCAGTACGTTACCTTCGCATAATACTGTTTTTCATTGGTCAAATGTCCATTATCAGTCATTATCTCAAGTTCATCTACTCCCAGATCGCTTATTTTCGATTTTCGCATCTAGTCACCGAGCCACTCAACTCCTGTTAATCACATCACTTGCTAAACTTTGCTAAGTACTAAACCGGATTAAGCTTTTCTTCCTCGTGGTCTCCGCGCTCGTGCTAGCCGTGTAATAAAAATGATGGGTCTAGTGACAAGTTCAACTAAAAATAGAAATAATCGATGCTTAAATTAATCCCATTAATTAAGTTTACTCATGTCACCTGTGTTATGGAGTAGTAATTTGGACCACATTAGTGTGCTATTAAAATACTTTATGCTCACGAGGAAATTACTTGTGTACTGAATTTATTAAGAGTCGTTGCGCCTGGGAGAAAATTCGATGCTGTTTGCTCGTTTTTTACGAATCGATAAAATCAATCTGTTATAGTAAATTTAGACTGTTTTATTATTACGACTGACTTAAATTATCTCGGAGTGAAAATAAAACTAAGTTGGTGGCGGTTTATGCTTGATTGGACTATTATTTTCAGGTCGACACTAATTAATCATTCATCGGGAAAAGTTTCCATTTTTTGTTCGCGTCGTTCTGGGCATTTAAACAATCAGAAACTCCGCCTTTTGTTTGTTTTTCTGTTTCCGACTAACCACAGTTTATAAAACTGTTACACCTCCACTTTAAACAAGAACGCCGTAAATTATCCACAGTGTTTACAACAGTTTAGAATCAAGGGTACGATTTCGAAATCTTACAACACAAAGCTTTTTCAAAAAACTTTAACAAAATCGAGATGTCTGGGGTAAAAAATCAAAACGGATTCATAGACCACAAATATAACAGTATTTTATCTTTTAATTCTAATAACAAATAATACGCAAAATCTTGAAGTGACGTCATAACTTTGTTGATGGGGATGATTAGAGCAGATCTCGGTCAGCGTTTTACCATCTACACGATATTGCTAGAATACATACAAAATTTGACGACAATCGCTCCGGTAGTTTTGGAGATTAAACCGAAATTAAAACAAAATATTGTGAAATTACCACTGAACTCTTGTGCACCTTCATTCTTATACAAATTACAGCTCTAGGGTGGTAAATTTACTTCAGGATCTATACCAAAAAGAACTATTTAATAAAGTGATTTGTAAATAATTTTTTTGAACTTTCACAGCTAGACGTATGCGAAAATACAGGTTTGAAGTCTGTCTGTTTTAAAAATATAATTTTCAAAAGAAAAATTGACAATTTATATCAGTATATAAATTTCTACGAAAGTCTGAAAATTTATGTAATTATAAAATATTAGATTTCACTTCAAATATTGCCTGAGAAAATCAGAGTGACTATCAATGTTTATGATTTTTTTTGTCAGGTTGGCGCTTCACGTAATTAAAAAATTCGCAAAATTCTTGTCATTCAACATTTATTATTCTTCTTTTTAACTTCTATATACAGGCTTTATAACCATAGTTCCCGCGCGATGTTGCCACGTTATTCGAATTTTCTTAAAATCTTTTGGCAAAAAAATTTCTCAGCAGGGTTATTTTTAAAATGTGTGTTATAATATTTTATGGATATATATGGAAAAATGAAGGTACGCGCTTTTTGTGACACTAATTAAATCAATTCAGTTTTTTCAAATATAACACCCTGTATTTTTTTGCTGTATTTTACTCTATTTTTTGTTTTCAAATTGCGTACCGCTATCTCATAACAAAAATTGTTACACGGATTTTAAAAATTACTATTGCGTTTTTTTGTCAAAAAATTCAAGAAAATTGAAATAACGTGGCAACGTCGCTTCAAAATTTCAAAAATAAGCTGTGGTTGTAAACTCTAACAAAATGTCGATTAAATTAAATTAAAATGTGTAGGGTGTTTCATTTACAAAAACTAAGTTGTGTTGCGCCTTCAACAAATCACCCTGTATAGTTAAAAATAATTTATAAATTCTAGTAATCTTACAAATTTTCTAGTTTCAAGCAATTCAAAAATTGCCAAAATTGTAATCGTTCGACATCTATAAAAATTCTGAAACTCAGTTGACCTTTAAAGCCGAGTCCTACTGGACATATTTATTGAGAGAGAACCTCCCTCGCCCCTGAAGCACAATCAAACAACGTGGTCCTCGATATTTTATTAATTATTAGAAAAAAAAGTCAAAGACACCCTATGTATTTTTACAATATCTCACTAACTTTTTTCTAGGCTTTATAACCAGCCGACACGACGTTGCCACGTTATTCCAATTTTCTTGAAATCTTTTGTCAAAAAAAATCTCAATAAGGTTATTTTTAAAATCTGTGTTACAATATTTTGTCAAGGCATAAATAAAGATACGCTTTATTATTAAATCAAATTTTAACATACACAGTGTTTATACAAAAATTCAAAGAGTTTATAATTTTCAAATATCGATATTTCAGTTTTTTCAAATAGAACACCCTGTACTTTACGGGTGTATCTTACTCTATTTTTTTGTTCTCAAACGGCGTACTTTTATCTCGTCACAAAATATTTTAACACAGATTTAAAAAATAACTATATTGCGAATTTTTGTAAAATAAATTCGAAAATTGGAATAACGTGGCAACGTCGCTTCAGAATTTCAAAAATAAACTGTGGTTGTAAACTCTAAGAAGAGATCCAACAAACTATGTAAAAAAATACAGTGTTTTCAATTTATAAAAACTAAGTTGTGTTGCGCTTTCAACAAATCACCCTGTATATGTAGTTAAACATAATTTATAATTTCTACTAATTTTATCTATTTTCTAGTTTCAAGTAATTCAAAAATTCCCACAATCTATTAAAACTTTGAAATTCATCTGAGCTTAAAAGCCTAGTTGTACTAGATATATTTATTCAAGAGAACTTCCCTCGCCCCTGAAGCACAATAAAAACAAAATAAAGACCGAATTTGTACAGTTCTTTGAGGACTACACACTGAAATTATTTTTAACCATACAGAGTGTTGTGTTTTAAGGTGTAACGCACAGCTTAGTTTTTTTTAAATAAACCACCATATATATTTTTAAAAATTATCACTAGGTTCTTCCTAGGCCTTATAGTTAAAGCACCGATGCGACGTTGCCACGTTATTCGAATTTTCTTGAAATCTTTTGGCATAAAAAATCGCAACTGGGTTATTTTTAAAATCTGTGTTACACAGTGTTTATAAAAAAAATTCTAAGTGTTTATAATTTTCAAATATCAATATGTCAGTTTTTTTTTAAATGGAACACCCTGTATTTCATTGGTGTATTGTACAAAGGCCGTACGTTTATCTCGCCACAAAATATTGCAACTTAGGTGACTTTTTCTGACAAAATTTCAAAAAAATCGGAATAACGTGGCAACGTCGCTTTGGAATTTCAAAACTAAGTCGTGATTGTAATTCCTAAGAAGAGGTCGATCAAATTATGTAAAAATATATAGTGGGTTTCATTAAAAAAAAATAAGTTGTATGTTTCCCTTTAGAGAGATCACCCTGAATAATCAAAAATAATTTATAACTTCTAAATTTTCTACTTTCAAGTAATTCAAAAATTTCCAAAATTCTCATCGTTCGACATATGTATGTATATTAAAATTTTGAAACTCATCAGACCTTAAAAATTTAATCCTACTAGATGATTTATAGAGACCGAGTTTTCTAGATAAATTATAAAAGTTGATTCTATATTTTTTTATAACTATTAAAGACAGAAAAAAGTCCACAGTTGTACAGTTCTTTAAGGACTGTACTCTAAAATTAATTTTAACCGTATAGAGTGTACTATTTTTAAGGAATAGCAGACAACTTAGTTTTCTTTTTTTAGTAAAACACCCTATATATTTTTATATAATTTCATTGTCTTCTGCCTAGGCTTTATAATCACAATTTTCTGGAATCAGTGTTGGTATTTTGTCGAAATAAAAAATCGTTTAATTAATTCAGTACATTTTTTTAGAAATTTTATTTTTTACCCTAACTCTTGCTAAAATTTTGATATGACGTCATCAAATTTTTAAAGGGATGGACAGAGGAATTATGATTTCAAAACAATTTGTAGTTAAAGTATAAAATTTTGGTGTACAATTTTTTGACTTTTTTTTGAAAAACTTATAAGTAGAAACATTATTTTTGCCCATTTTAACTAGCATGTACTGGGCAAATTTTTGAGATGAGAAATTTTGGTCAACATTTTCCTATCTACAGGATATTCTAAACATTCATCTAAACTTTAACAACAATCAATCCAGTAATTCGAAAATTAACAAAGCTAACTATAAATCAAAATGTTTTTCTTCCGTTGTTTGAAAAATCTTACATAAGATTCCAGGGAATGAAAATTCCCAGACACTTTTCACTCAATCTGACAAAATTTACTTTTCAATTATGGGATCTGGGTCTAGAAAAATAAACAAACAGCAAATAATTTCCGTTTTTAATGTAAGAAAAACGGAATGCAGTTGAAAATAAAACCTGGAGGCGGCGACTTGATCTTGGACAATGATAAAATATTTTTAAATTCGACCTGGATTTTTGAATCAACGATTTTCTTGCACTTTAAGCCACGTGAAAAAAAATCGTTATTAAAAAAAAACAAAAACGTGTGACATCTAATATCAGTTACTTAACATTAAATGCATGTCGAGGTCTCCCAACAAACTAAGCAATATTTTACAAATCCGTGACGTCAATTAATTCCGGTTTAAAATACCACAATTCTATCAAACTATCCGGTCAGAGACAATTCACAGAACCTTAAGCCAAGGCTCGAATCTCGAAAATTTGGCTCGATCCCCTCAATTAATCAAGTCGATTTTTTGGCTCTAGTAGCAAATACGCAACAATCGAGTCTTTGAAGTAAGACGAAAAATTAAAAACGCGATTACTTTGAAACAATAACTGGTCACCTGGTGACGTATGATTAATCGCTCGGATTTCTAGGAATAGTTGGAGCTTGGCAAACTGGCAATGAACACCAAGGGCTTCGCAGCGAAAAATCGCCCGTAAAGGAACAACGCAAGGCAATACGGCAATTTTTAAACCGCAACAATACGTAGGACGGAAATGATGCTAATATTGATAATTATTAGCCGCGAAATCCGTCAAACAAATTGAGTAGCGACAATCACTTAATCTGATTAATTAATAATCTTAATTAGTGTAAATTTACACGCGAGCACGCATAAAAATGAAGTGTTATGATTAATAAATTATTTAAATGATGGGCCCGTGGGCCGCTCCGACACAGCGCCGGAATCTTGTCGAATTTATTAAACGTAATTTAATTTAAGCTAATTTGCATCCATAATTTAATTTGTAATAAAGCTGAGGAAAAATGTGGACTAGAAATAGCTCCAATGCCACATTTGGCAACAGTTTAATTCGTCGACCTTTCCGCTA